AAGGACAGCCTGGAGCCTCTGTACTCTCCCTTCAAAAATAGAGGCTGGAAATCTCTGGCGTTCTAGTGGTTAGGAGTCAGCGCTCTCACTTCTTAGTGTTTGGGGTAAATCCCTGTTCAGGGAACTAAGCTCCGAGAAGCCGAGTGGTACGGCCAAAAAAAAGAAAAAAAAAATATATTGAAAAAATGCTGTCGCTGCCCTGGCGAGGAAGAAAGCACTGGGTGAACTGCGGGCGTCCACTTGTGCTCAAATTTAAAATTCTTCCTCATCTAACCGCAGGGCCACTCTGTCCTGTGCCTGAGTAGCAGGCAACCAAGGCCCAGAGCCAGGGGTTCGTTACCAGTGGCGCAGGAGCAGTTGGGTTCCATTTGGAGCCGACGTGAGGCCGGGGATGGAAAGCAAGCGGCCAAGAAGCACCTGAGCTGGTGGAAGGCGTGTCGAGCCTAGGAGCCTGCTTGCAGTGTTTGTTCCCAGAGGAGGCGGCCCGGGCGCAGAGGTTCCACCCCCTCCTTGCACCCCCTCCCGCGTCTGCGCCGCCCGCCCGCAGCGCCCGGGGCCGGGCTGTGAGCAACACTCGGGGCCGAGCGCAGGATTCTCCCAGTGCGCATGGGTCCAATCTGCGCACGGAGAGCCGAGTTTGGTGCCTGCTCGCGTGTAGGGACTGTTTGCCAGGAAGTACGCGGTGTCCTAGCCTCCCTGTCCGCCCCTCCCTATTTTCCCGAGGGCGGCAGCCACCTTGTTCCCGGATTTTCCAGCAACCCAGCCTCTGTGTTCTCGCTGTCTTCCCCACCCCCCGCCCCCGCGCTGTTGTTTTCAGGTTCACCCTTTCCGGAGCCCGTGTGCAACCCTAGTCTCGCGCTCACGTCCCAGGCATGGCAGGATCCTGGGAGTTGTGTGCAGAGACCGGTGGTGGATGTGACCTTCACCAATCCTCCGACTCCCTCTTCCCCCACCATTTCCTGTCCTGGTCCCCACGATGGTCCTTAGGCAGCGTTTCTCTAACGTTTCTCCGAAAGAGCACCACGGCCAACTCAGGCCTCTGCCTCCCATCCTTCCTTCTGTTCTCCACTACTGAATGGATGGATGGGCACATTTGTCCCTATGCTCCTGGCCTGAACTTGCCAGGGGTTTTCCTGATCCTAGCCAGTCCACCCTGCTCTGGGATGGAGGTTCCCAAAGCATGAGATCCCACCCCATGGAAGGGATCATTGTAAGTGATGGGCAGACCTGGCATCAAATAACAAAGCATGAAAAGTGGTTATTTCCCTTTTAGTGTTCAGCAGTGGGGAGAGCATTGAGCAGGCAGTCAGATCCCTCTGCACAGCTCTGTGACCTCTCTGGACTTCAGTCTCCCATCTCTGCCGCCAGAAGCACAGCTAGACTGTCTCAAAGGACCCTTCCAGCTGTGAATAATGATAGGCAGGACTCAGCATTCAGTGACCTCATAATCAGCGACCTTTGGCAAGGAGGTGAGACAGCCTTGCTACAGGTTCAGACCTCTGGATGTGATCTGTGTGCCCTTAGGCAGGTTGCTTAAACTCTGGGTAGCTGGCACAATCATTACAGCCCCTGCAGGTTCACTCTGTTACTGGTTCATTGTAGATCAAGTGATATGAAGGGTGGGCATTGATTTTGTGTTTCTCCAAATGGTGTGGCAGCATCTTATCCTAGGGGGGCTATTGCAGGGCATCCACACTCCCTCTGCCAGTGGATCAGTAAATTTGCAATCAAACTTTAACCTCCAGCCTGGAGTAATGCTTGCAAAACCATGAGCCTTTCCCCAAGAGCTTGTTGGAATTAAACAAGATTCTGTCCCAGTAAAGTCACTGTGAACAGAAGCATCATAATAGACACTGTTTATTAAGCCCTAGTGAGGAGCTGGGCCACTCTCAATACCACATAGGGATATAATCTCCTTTTTATAGGAAATGGAGACTTAGAGAGGTTGAGCGACTCATTTAGGATATGCGGCTGGTAAGTGCCACTGTCGTCTGTGAACCAAGACTGCCTGACACCAGCACCCATGCACCCAGCACAGGCTGGCTCCTGAAATCCCCTCTTCACACAGGACACCTGTGGGTGAGTGTGGTCCTGACACTTGGGCCACGTGACTCCTCTTTCTCTTTGACTTTACACCAAACAGCAAATCCATCCAAAAGTTGTCAGGAGGACTAGCTATTGCCATTATTTACAAGTCACTCAGCGCCTCACTCCTTCCTAATAAATACCACCACAACTTTGTAAATGCAGAATCTGACGCTACCCTGCACAGGCAGACGTGAAGTCCTTCATCTGGAACCAATTTCCAGGTACTCTGCCTCTTGTTGGGAAATGGCTGGGTATTACCTGCAAATTCCTAGTCAGTTTGCTGGTTTCAAGTAACCAAGGGCTGGATTTTGAAGGTAGAGTTCAGCCTGACCTTAAGGAACTTCCAAAGATTCAGAGCCAACTCACTGCAGGGAGCTCTCAGGGGTAGCAGGTGTCCTGTCACTGGCACTGGGCCAGCCAAGACACATGTTCCCTGTGGGGATGGGGGGAAGAGCTACTCCAGGTGTGGGTGGTCCACACAGTGGGGTGTTTGAAAGTGTTTTCAGTGTTCAACATACTCCTTTGATGAACACATGTGGGTTTTTTAAATAATTGAAGTATAGCTGATTTACAGTATTGTGTTAGTTTCAAGTGAACAAACATGTTTTTACTTTTTAAATTTTTCCTGTATTACTCTGTTCTTCATATATTTATTCAAATTTATTGAATCAAAAATTGGGTTTTGTATCCTTTTAAATTTTTCTTAGTAGTTCACTTAATTTTATTTTACCACAGTTTAGGTTTGTGAAGTTGGAAAATAAAAACCACAGCTAGAAAATTCACACGTCTTTCAGTGCAGGGAGTTTGAGACTTCCAGGTAACTGGAGGTGTGATTCCAACTTCTTTAGAGTCTATCAAGCCTAAAATCTATGAGGAAGTGAAGTTAGCCAGGGAAATCAGAGGATGGGAAATGAGGCATTGAGAAGCCACCAACCCTTGCCATGTCACCAACCCTTGACATGAGAATGGAGGGGACCTTGTATCTGCTCGACACCCTTAGAGCATCTGGTCTAATGCTGTTCCATTGATGAACCCAGTGAGGGAGTGTGTCTTGTCTTAGGCTCTCAGTTTGTTAGGGACTCACATTTTGTTCCAGTACCCAAGTCTCTGCACTTCTCATCCAGTCTCCTACACCAGCCCCGGATGGCACAAAAGCCCTTATTCCCAATGCACAGAAAAGAAAGGCGAGTCGGAATAGTGTCAACAACTTTTATTACCACTTACATATTTCATAGGAAAGGGAATGTAGCAATCAAGTCAGAGTGGTATAAAAACGCAGGTCGGCCCGTGTTCCTCCATTGACACCCGGGGCAGGCTCTCCGTGACATCAGGCACAGCAGCTGCACTTGTCCGAGGCCCCTTTGCAGACGCAGCCCTGGGCACACTTGGCGCAGCCCACGGGGCAGCAGGAGCAGCAGCCTGGGGAGAGAGGGGCGAAAGCAGATGTCAGCGATGACTTTCCCAGGCTCCTCCTTGCCCAACAGCAGCCCTGCCACAAGCCCTCAGATCCAAAGGACCCCGAGTACAGAAAAACATGCTCTGTTCCAAGACAGTTGGGAGGACCTTGGGGTTTGGCTTCCACTACAAAGTGGCTGCCCTGCCCCATCTAAGCCCAGGACAGGCAGAAAGTCAGAAGCAGCAGTGATAGGTGCCGAAGGGCAAAGGAAGACCAGCCCCCCCCCGCCAGAGCCATACACTCAGAGCCCGCTCTGGGTTCCCTCCCTCACCCTAGCTGCAGCCCCCAGGTTCCCAGAGAAAGCCCTACACTCACTCTTCTTGCAGGAGGTGCATCTGCAGGCTTTGCAGGTGCAGGAGCCAGCGCAGCCGCAGGAGCCGCCTGCCGGGAAGGGAAAGGTCAGCAGTGAGCAGGGAGGGGGATGCAGGAGGTACAGCAAATGGTCAGTAATCCCTCCCTGCAACCTCTTCCTGGGTGCAGGGCCCAGTGCTAGGGACTCCTGTCCCTCATAGGACAGACAGAAGTCTCACCCCTCCTTCTCTGCCCTTCTATGCAAAGGGCTGTGTACTGCCTTGTATTTGCCCCACAGGTGTGGTCCCAGGCTCCAGAGCCCATTCAGGATGCCTGGGTCTGGTGGCCAGGACCTTTTGTCTGAGCCCATAAGAGGCAATGTCCCCTCGCATCCGGCACAGGGAATGCAGAGGCCTGGACAGAGCACTGCGGCCGACCCAGACACCTGGATGATGTGGCACCGAACAGCCTTGAGCCTCAGGCCTCTTGCCTCTGAAATGGAAGCCCCAGTTGGATGGAAACACTCTAATGGGGGATGAAGGCGCTTGTCCGGGGAGAAAGCACGTGCCAGGTTAACTACAGAGGCCTACTTCAGCTCAAGCTCAAAATGTTCCTCCCTCCTCCAAACCCAGGGATGCTTCCTGGTATTGGGGAAGGGGCATCCAAAGTTCCAGAGCCAGGGGTTCCTCACCAGTGGGGCAGGAGCAGTTGGGGTCCATTTTGAGGCGAGGTGAGGCCGGGGGTCCAAAGCAAGTGGCGAAGAAGAGGGTCTTGGGCCGGTTGGGAGCGTGCTGGAACCTAGCAGCCGGCGGGTTCAGTTTATACCCAGAGGAGGCGGCCCGGGCGCAGAGGCCCCGCCCCCGCCTTGCACGTGGCGCGCGGATCTGCGCCTGTGCAGCCGGCAGCGCCCGTTCCGGCTGTGCGCAGCGGGCCGGGCCGAGCGCAGGGTTCCGTGAGCAAGGATTGGGTCGGTGTGCAGCGCTGCGGCCGCCCCTTTGGCGCTGGAACTCGCGGAGGGACGGTGTGCCGGGCGGCTCTTGGTTTCCCAGCTTCCCTGCCCGCCCCTTCCCAATTTTCCCAAGGTAGGCAGTCACCTCTGTTCCAGGATATTCCAGGAACCCAGTCCCCCCTCTCTTTGCCACCCCAGGCCCTATTGCCTTGGTGCTCAAGTTCGTCCTTTCCGGAGCCCATGTGCGCTGCGCCCGGCCTTCCCCCCCCGCCCCGCCCCCGGCCTGTGCTCGCGGGCGGTGGAAAGAGCCGAGGGAGTTGTGTGCAGCGTCCCAGCTGCGGATGTGACGTTTGCCTCCCAGTACTTTTCCTTTCCCTGTGCCCAGAGGGACTTAGGCCCTATTTGTCTGTCTCAGTTTTAAGGCGGACGCTGGCCTCTGTCTGCTCCGTCCTTCCTCCACTCTCTAAGTTTGAAAGGATGTATGGGCACATATGTCTGGATCCTTTGCATAAAACTCTCCAGAGACTCTCCACAGCCTAGCCAGCCCACCTCGCTCCAGGGCAGTTGTTCAGAAAGTGGGGTGCCCCCAGGGGAGGGGTCATTTTAGGTGATAGGCAGATCTTGCATCTGAATATCAAGAAAAATAATTGTTTCCCTTTCAATATTACTGACCATTAGACAGCATTGTGTGTGTGTCCCACCTGGTTAATTGTTTATCTTTCAACCCTCACAAAGACTCAAAAAGAGGAATACTGTTATTTATGAGCTCATTTGGCTGGTGGGAAAGGTAAGTCACAAGGATGTTAAATAACTTGCCCAGGGTCACAGAGCTGGGAAGTAGTGCCACCGGGTCTGAATCCAGTCATCTTCCCAAGGGAAGAAGTTCAAAGATAAAGTTTTCCTTTGGCCCAAAGTTTTCCTTTGATGTATCTTCAACATCAGTGTACTGCTTGAAATTTTTTAAACAGAGATAAGCCTCAAGCTTATCAACTCTCCAGGCCCATATCATGATTTTGTTTTCAAGGACCTAGATTGCCTTTTCCTTCTGCAAGACATCATACTGGTCCAGTACACTGATGATATTCTGCTGCTCGGAGCTAGTTGCAAGAAGTAGCAACTGCTCTAGGTTTATTGGTTAAGACTCTGCAATGGCTGTAAAAAAGCCTATGGAATAGAGAAGATCCCTTAGGGCATCTCTTAGTACTACCCTGCTCTGTGATTAAAGTCAGTGAAAAACTACTGTAACAACCCAATCAAGGCAGGACTGATAAAGGCTCAGACCCTTCAAAAATGAAGGTTTGGGTCACCCCAGCATCGTAAAGAACCATGACCAACTGAGATGCTTGCAGGGAGCAAAGGGGATACAGAATAGGTAGTGTAAGAAGATGTTTATAAATGTCAGCTATAACCACATGACCAGTTCCAGAAACAGAAATGACAACTGTAATTGTTAGGAGTACTTCTTCATTATTTTGTTATAAATATGTTTATATATATACGGCAAATATCTTTGTTTTCTTCCCTCTTTTATCCCCTTCTCATATAACATAGAAGGTGTTGACTTTACATTGTAGTGTTTACGTGTTGTTAACATCACAGTATTTGTTACGTGATATCAAGTACAAAAGTGACCATCACCCAAGGACTTTGCATCCTCCTTTGGGGACGGTGTTATACATTTTCAGTTGTAGGTAGGATAGTTGTGTCATGTTAGGCAGAAGTAATACCTTGTTATTGTCTTCGTTGGGAGATTAAGTGCGGTTTACGAAGTTGTGTGGGTGCTAGTTTGATAAGTGGTGGTCTATAACGGTTAGTTTTATGTACCCGCGTGTTTTAGGCTGTCGTGCCCAGTCCTTGGTCACACGCTAGCCTGATGTTGCTGTGAAGGTATTTTTCAGATGTGATTAACATTTAAATCAGTAGACTTTGAGAAAAGCAGATTACCCTTCATAATGTGGAAGGCCTCATCCAGTCAGTGAAGGCCTTAGAGAAAAACTGAGGTCTCTTGAAGAGGAGGGAATTGGGCCTCCAGATGGCCTTTAGACTCAAGATTGCAAGCAACATCAACTCCTACTGGAATTTCCAGGCTGCTGGCTAGCCCTATAAACTTCAGTCGTGCCAGCTTCCACAGTTGCATGAGCCAATTTCTTAAAATAAATCTCTCACTCTCTTTATCTCCCTATCTACCTACCTACCTACATCCTGCTGGTTCTGTTTCTCTGGAGAATGCTAATACAAATATATTTTAAAACATATAAGTCATTAAAGGAAAAATGTTAAGTAAAATACTGGTGCAAGTGGTAGCAAAGGGCACAGACTGTTGTGCTCAGGGTTATAAATACCCAGTGCTGTTCATTTGATGAGGACAACATAGGACACACAGCTAGGCACACCACCACTGCTTCTGTGTCTAGAGGTAAATAAATACCCCCTATGTTAATAATAATAATAAATGGCTAACACTGTAGACCACTCACCACGTGCCAAGCACCATACTAAATTCTTTACATGTACTAGTTCTTTAATCTTCTGAATCATATGCTTTTATTTTGCCCCTTTTAAAGTGGGGGAGACCGGGCTTCCCTGGTGGCGCAGTGGTTGAGAGTCCGCCTGCCGATGCAGGGGACGCGGGTTCGTGCCCCAGTCCGGGAGGATCCCACATGCCGCGGAACGGCTGGGCCCGTGAGCCATGGCCGCTGAGCCTGCGCGTCCGGAGCCTGTGCTCCGCGGCGGGAGAGGCCGCAGCAGCGAGAGGCCCGCGTACCGCAAAAAAAACAAAAACAAAAACAAAACAAAACAAAACAAAAAGTGGAGGAGACTGAGCCACAGAGAGATTATGTCCTGTGGCTATAAGTGACGAAAGTGAGATTGGCACTCATGCAGGCGGACTGCAGCATCATGCCCTCACCCACGATCTTACACCAGGACTTCATATGACAGATGAGGATGTTGAAAGCTGGCACAGGGGCAGCAGTGGGAAGAGCACTGAGCAGGCAGTCTGTATAGTTCTGTGACCTCTCTGGAATTCAGTTTTCCATGTGTCAAGCCAGGAGCACAATCTGTCCGTTTCGAGAGGTCCTTCTACCTGTGAATAGCGAGAGGCAGGATTTAGCATTCAGTGACATTGTTATCTGCCAGCTGTGGCCAGGGCGTGAGGTCAGCTGTAGTGTAGGTTCAGACCTCTGCCCTCTGAGCTGTGTGACCTTGGGCAGGTTGCTTAACCTCTCTGGAATCAGCACAATCACTCCAGCCCCTGCACATTCACTCTCTCACTGGTTCCTGTGCAGATCCAACGACATGAAGCATGGGAATGGCTTCTGAGTCTGTCCAAATGCTGTGGCGGCATCTTGTCCTGGGGGTCTCTTTGGAGGTCATCCGTACTCCCTTTGGCACCGGATCAGCAAATTTCCAATCCCATCCTTAACCTCCAACCCAGAATAATGCTTCTAAACCAATGAGCTTTTCCCCAAGAACTTGTTGGGAGCTAAAAGGATTCTGTCTTCATGAATGTCAGTGTGGACATAATGATCGTAACGGCCACTGTTTATTAAGCCAGGACACTATCATTTAATCCCCACATAGAGATATCATCTCTTTTTCAATGGGAAAATGGAGACTCAGATGTTGAGTAACATGCCCAGGCCATACCACCTGTGGCAAAACAGGCTGTGAACTGAGACGCCCATGCACTCAGCACAGGCTGGTTTCTGAAACCCCCTCTTCACACAGGGCACCTGTGGGCAAGCATGGTCTTGACTCTTGGGCCACACGACTTGTCTTTCTCTTTTATTTTACATCAGATAGCCATTCCCTCCACAAATAGCCAGGGGGACTAACTGCTACCATTAGTTACAAGTCACAGGGCACCTCACTCCTGCCTAATAAACACCACCATACCCTCCGAACTGCAGAATCTGCCATCACCCAGCATGGGCAGACGTGAAATAGTCCATCTGGAACCAATTCTCAGGCACACGCCCTCTTCATGGGAAATGACTGTGTAATTCCCTCCACAGCCCTAGTTATTTTGCGGCTTTCAAGTAGCCAAGGGCTGGATTTCGGAAGGACAGATTGCAACGGTGCTCAATGGACACCTTCGATGAACATGTGTGCGACGTTTTTAAATCTCTGATTTTGTTTGTTTTTCATATATTGACTGAAATTACGTGTGTGGAATCTGAAAACGTGGGCTTTGTATTGTTCTGTGGCATTTTTATAATTTTTTTTGTTTCTGTTTTTTACCAAGGTTTAGGTCTGCAATGGATGGGAAATGAAATCTGTTCCTTCACCACAGGGATTTTTTAGACGCCCCATTTAGATTCAAGCAGGTGAGGGAGTTTTCCACCCCTGTAGTCACTGAAGACTAAAATCCAGCGAGGAACTGCAGTTGAACAGGGAAACCATGGAGAATGAGGATTCTGGATTGAGAAGTTTCTGTGCCACCAACCCTTGACTTGAAAACAGAGGGGACCCTGTATGTGCCCAGTGTCCTTATAGCATCTGGCCTAAGGCTCTTCCGTTTTACAAAAGATGAAGCCCAGTGGGGTAATGTGGCTTGAACAAGGCACTGGGTTTGTTAAGGGCTAACATTTTGGTCCAGAAACCAAGTCTGTGTACTACTAGCCCAGTCCCTCACCCCAGCTCTGGTCAAGTTAAGGAAAACAGCCAGAATAAAGCCAACCACTTTTATTATCATTCTTGTATTTTATAGGACAAAAAAAAAAAAGAGGAATGTAGGTTTGTCCTGGTTGCTCTATTTACACCCGGGGCAGGCTCTCCGCGACATCAGGCACAACAGCTGCACTTGTCTGAGGTCCCTTTGCAGATGCAGCCCTGGGCACACTTGGCGCAGCCCGGAGGGCAGCAGGAGCAGCAGCCTGGGGAAGGGAAGGAGGCGGCAGAGATGAGCGCTTGGAACAGAGGATTAATAAGGCTTCCCGTCCTCTCCAGTGGAGGCGCCACCGTCCCTAGGGAAGGGGTACCTACTGCCCTATTTAAATTCCCTCCGTGGTGTAGAGGGCTGGAGGCGTGGGGGGCGGGCCTGGCGGAGGGGTGGGCGCGTTAGGGGTAGATGTAGAGAAAATTCCACTTACTCTTCTTGCAGGAGGTGCATTTGCAGTCTTTGCATTTGCAGGAGCCGGCACACGTGCAGGATCCGCCTGCAAAGAGAACGGCCGACATAAAAACGGTTCCCGGAGACTCGAACGCGGGCATGGGTGCTAGGAGCCCGAGTTTGAGTCCCAGTTCCACAACCAACTCGTGGGAACCTGGGCAAGCCACGAACTCTGATCTCCTTATCGGTCAAACGGGATCTCCTAGTTTAACTTAGAATAGAGGCGGGTACACCAAAACGCTTTCGAAAGGGGCAATTTGTGCCCGGAAAGTGAGTGACGAGTCAGAAATTGCTTCTCTACTTCTACAATTGACACCCAATCCCGAACCAGATCTCCTTACCTGCGGTGCAGGAGCAGTTGGGATCCATGGCGAGACGAAGCGGAGGCTGGGGTCCGGAGACTGTGTCACGAAGTATGGCAAGGAAGTCGAGGGGGCGTGCTGAAGCGGAGGGCGCTGTGGGCTGACTTTATAGCGGGAAGGAGCCGGGGCGAGTGCAAAAGCCCTCCGGGGCGGGCGCCGCCTGCACACGCCCCGCGCTGAGTCACTGGCGGGCCGCGCGGCGCCCCGAGCTGTGCACACGGGCCACCAGGCACCAGTTTTCAGTAGCCGCCCTAGGTGCGCCTCGGTGAGGGAGGGCCGGGTGCAGAGCGCGGACCCCGCATGCAGGGCTGTGCTGGGCTGTGCGCGGAGCACCCTGACCCCCGCCCTTCGCTGTGTGCGCAGTTCCCGCCACCGCCTTCCCCCTACCCCAGCACGCCCCACCCCAACCCTCCCCACCGCGTCCGTTGCCCTGTGCTTGAACCTGAGTAGTTAAGAGAGTGGGTCTTGCGGATCCTGCTCCGGGGGAAAACTGGTGGGAAGTCAGGACAGATTACAAAAAAAAACTCTTTGCACCCGTCAAGGCTTAAAAACTGTGTAGCATCATATTAAACCCGTGGGCTGGTTATTGATGACATATACTGTATATCAAGTGCTTTAGCATGCGATAGGGAAGGTGTAAGCGTGTGATGTGCGAGCTCTCATTTAATCCTCTAACAACCCTGTGAGGTAAGGACTAGTTATCATTCCCATTTTAGAGTATGGAGGCCCAGAGAAGTTAAGTAACTTGCCCAAGGTCACAGAGCTAGTGAGTGGCAGAGCCTGGTTTGAATCAGTGGGCCCAGCAGATGCTGAAGTCACTCTAAGTGTAGACATCACCAACAGGGGAGAATAAAGATCAAGAAGCCACAAGCCTTGTACTCAGGAAACTCATAGTCATTGGGGCAGCCTCATGGGTGCGTGGGGAAAAGTAATACCAGGGTCATGGCTAGGATGGAGGCAGGGGGAACAGAGAGGAGACCCAGTCCAGCCTGAGAGGAGGTGGGCCAGTCAGGTAGGCCATTGCCTTGGGCCTGAGGGTGAGAAAGTCTTCGCCAGGCAGGGGAAGAGGAAGGAGTTGTATTCCAGCCCGTGGAAGAAGCAGCGGGGTGGAAAGTTGGCATTCCCATGGAACATTTGGAAGGGAAAACCTCACAAGAACTTTCTTCCCCAGTGGATGCAGAGGGGAAGAGTAGAAGTGCGGTCCAAATTCCTTTCTGGGGAGGTACATCCTGCTTCCCTGCTGGCACATGTCTGGCTGCTGTGAAATGGATCTTAGATCGTTATCCTGGGATTGTCCAGAGTGTGTTATCAGATGAGCAGGTTACTGGAAGGTTGGTGGCAGGTTTAGGGAATGCTGGTTGCTGCAGTAGGGAGTTTAGTGAGGGGGTGGGCGGAGGACAGGCCGTCCTCACAGCATTTACTGTAAAGTCCTGTGGAAATGCCTTCACAGCTCAGCTCAGACGTCACTTTCTCCTGGGAGCCCGTCCTGACCCCTGTGCTAGGTCAGGATGCCTGTGGAATGCGCTGGTAAACAGCTTGTCCTTTTCCTTCCTGGCACTTCCCGTGTCTGTAATACATAGGAAAGTGTGTGATTCTGCGACCTTTGTCCCTCCACAGCTACCTGCCACTGAAAACACCAAGAGCACTCACTGCCCCTGAAATGTGCTTCCAGCCCTCGGCCCAGGGCCAGGTTTACAGTTGGTGCTTAGTAAATATTTGTCAAATGAATTAATAGGGGTAAATCCCCTGATGTGTCCTCCCTTCCCAGCCCTGCCTCCCGGCATTAGGGCCGATTACAAAATGAAAGTAAAAAACTTGTTTTTCACCACTCTGGGACCTGTGTGGTCACTCAGAAACTCCAAACAGGGCAGGAGAGTTGAACTGTCAGAAGGACTAAATTCTAATGGTCACTCTGCCACTCGCTGAGCAACCTTGGGGCTGTTATGGGCCAGGGCTCCCCTGAGCATCAGTTTACTCATTTGTCAAATGATCAGATTGCACTAGAATTTGAGGGTCACATGCAAACACACTCTGATGTTAGAGCCAAGGTCTCAGAAATCTCGCTGTGTCTGGCAGCCCCGTGGACCGAGAGCATGGGAGGGCTGCTCTTTGGATGGTGGGCAGATTTTGCTGTTGTTGTTACATACGCACCACATTGTATGCAAAATTCCTGGTTTCTTATAAACTAGATGGTCACTTGTCCACTCAGGGGAAACAGTCCAACTCAATGAGGAGACAATAACGCTTATTTTTGCCCTGTAAAGTATTGAATCAAGCCCTGGGTTTGGGCCATCTGTGTTGGCAGTAAAATTTGTTTTCAGGTCTAAGCTGTCTCCCTTAAGTCATTTTGACTCTGAGAGGAGAGGGAGGACCAATCGGCAAAGGTGAAGGGCAGCCCAGGCCCAGTTTTGCTTATCTCTGTACCCATGTAAGCCTTGTGGGACAGGGGTGGAGAGTGAGGCCTTTCTAATGCCTGCAGTCCTCATGTGGTAGGAAGTGAGGAAAATGAAGCCAAGCAGCATAAGATGAGGAAAAACACCCCTCTGCAAGTGTGGTGTGAGTTATCAGTATGAGGCAATGATGTGGCCCTAGTCTGCATTAATAGAAGTATGCCATCCAGAATGAGGGAGGTGATTTTGCATCTCTTTTTAACTGCTAATGGGGGTATTTTTAGTTCTGCTGCTCTTACCCTGTGACAGTACCCTTAGGTTTCCTTTGTAGAATCACTCTTCCCTACTTCTAATCCACGTGGACTAAGGTGGATGGATGGAGTAGGCCCCATTCGTGGGCTCCCAGGAAATTCCATCTTCCTGGACATAGTGATTGGCTCTGATTGGGTCACCTAGCCATGAACCAGAGAGAATCAATGGAACTCCTCCTGGAAATGCTAGGAGAATGACAGATACTCTTTCCATCTAGACTTCAACCTGAAAGGGTGTGTAGCTGAGTTTCTAGAGTCTTTGTCTCCATAAGAAAGAGCCTGAGAATAAATTTATCGTAAAGGAAATGGAGCCTGACAATATCATTGGAGCACCTGGATCCAGCCAAGCCTGAAGTCACTGTGAGTCCAAAATTTCCTTTTTTGTTTAAATCATTCTGGATAGATTCTTAACTGGCACAGTTGGGCAGACCACCCTGAGGGCTGTGTTCATTATTGGGCTTCAACAGTCCAGAAAACAGTTGATCACAATAGTCCTAAGACTCAAAACCCCATCATGTGAGCAACAACTGAGAGGGGTGGGCAGGCTCAATCTGCAAGAAAACAGTTACCTTCAGATATGTGGACAGTGGTTGCTCCTGTAGCCGTGCAACAAATCACCCAAAACTGCAGTTTAAACAACAACCAGCTTATTGTCGCTCCTGGTTTTGTGGGTCAGGAATTTGAGAAGCACTCATTTGGGTGATTCTTTTGTTTCATGTATCACTGTCTGAGGTCACTTGGTGGCATTCAGTTGGTGGATGGGCTGGTCTGGAGGATCTAAGACAGTTTCACTCACGTGTCTGGCACCCTAGCAGGCGTGGCTGGATGGCTGAGCTCAGCTGGAACTAAAGACCAGAGCTCCCTCCTGTGGCCTCTTCAGCATGGTGGCCTCAGGGCAATTAGATTCCTTACATTTGGCACAGGGCGCCAAGGGTGAGAGTCCCAAGAGACAGGAGTGGTAGCTGTGTCTCTTAAGCCCTGGGTCCTGAAACTAGCACAGGTCACTTTCACCACTTTTGATTGGTCAAGAAGCCACAGAGCCTGCCCAGATTCGAGGGGAAAGGATGAAGACCCCAGGTCTTGATGGAAGGAGTCAACATGTTTGCAATTATCTCTCATCTGCCATAGTAGTCGTGGGGCGTAATATTGAGCACGTACTATGCATCAGGACATTCTGAGTTTATTTCACTTAGACCTCGGCACAGTCCTACAAGGCAGAGGCTGTTAGTATCTCAGTTTTACAGATGAGGCACTGAAGAGCTACATGGCCTGTTCAGGGTCACACAGCTGTAAGTGGCAGTGTGGGGATTTGAACCCAGGACTTTCTGATGCCACACCTACATGTTTATGCCATGCTGAAAAGAAGAGAATAGACTTGTGCTCTGTGGTCCCAAGGGCAGTACCAGGAATAAAGATTCTGCTCTGGGTGGGAAAGGCCTTTCTTGCAATTAGAGCTGGTGACGACTGGAAGGGACCGCCTTGGGAGATAGTTTCCTGTCACCATGGCACTAGGAACAGAGGCTGGTGGATTCTGGCATTAGATGGTGGGATAAAAAGAATAGATATATTTATTGTGAGAAGATCATCAACATTGTGGAGGTGATGAACTAGCCTACCTCTGCAAGATCTCCTTCCAAATCACCGACGCCCTGAGCACCTCTGTCACCACCATCATGCACATGCTCATCAAAGACACCCTTGCCCACACACACACACACACACACACACACACACACACATATAAATTTCCCTTTTAATGTGATTGGCATTATACTATACATATACCTTGAGGTTTTTTCCCCACTGAATGGTAAGATGTGGTGGTCTTTCCATTGCAGATGTGTTTTTATCGGATGTTCATTATGGCCATTTTTATACTTCACTCCTGAAGCACATTTAGCTTGTTTTGAGGCTTCTGCTGATACCAACGATGGGACAGTGAACTTCCTGGGTTGAAGGTATGTATGTTTTAAATTTGAGTAACTACTGCTAAAATACCCTCCAAATTTCTCTTCAAGACCCTGCTTTCAATTCTTTTGGGTATATACCCAGAAATGGAATTGCTGGATCATAAGGTAATTCTACTTTTAATATTTGGAGGAACCACCATTTTACATTTCCTCCAATAATGCACAGAGGTTCCCATTTCTCCACATCCTTGCCAACACTTATTTTGTTTTTTTGTTATTTTTGTCTTCCTGATACTGGTCATCTGCTACGGTCTGAATATTTGTGTCCTTTGGGGCCTTTGAGAGGTGCTTAGGTCATGAGGGTGGAGCTCTCATGAATGGGATTAGTGCTTTTATAAAAGAAACCCCACAGAGCCCCTAGTCCTTTCCACCATGTGAGGATGCAATGAGAAGTCTCTGACCCAGAAAAGGGGCTTCACCCAACCATGCTGGCACCCTAAACTCAGACTTCTAGTCTCTCAAACTGTGAGAAATAAATTTCTGTTGTGTATAAGCTGCCCAACCTGTGGTATTTTGTTACAGCAGCCCAAAGGGACAGACACTATCCTAATGGGTGTGACGTAATTTAGCTTTGTTTTGATGCTTTTTGTAACACAAGGCAAGCCAGAAACAAACAGAGAAGACAAGCATGGTTAGGTTTAAGAGCCTAGACTTTAGTCAGACAGCCTGGGTTCAAATCCTGGCTCTACCACATTCTAGCTTTGTTGCCTGTTAAGCACAAGACAGCAGGCTCAAAATGGAGTTGCTTATGCTAAGCCCCATGTCACCAGGGACTTCGGCCCGCCCAGAAATCTTTAACCAATCAGGACTCACCTGATCAGCACTAGTTAGGTAATCTGCCTGAGAGGGCCCTGCCATCCCTTGAAGGAAAGTAACTGCAATAACCAACCTGCTTTTTTGCCTGTTATGACTTCCTCGTTCCCTTCTAGCTATACAAGTCTTTCATTCTGTGCAGCTCCTCTGAGTTCCTTTCTATCTGCTACATTGGATGCTGCCCGATTTGAATAGATGTTTGCTCAAATCAACTCTTAAAACATTTTAATATGCCTCAGTTTATCTTTCAGTAGACTGCATGCAGATTACCCTAAGCCCTATTGCCCCATCTGTAAAATGGGTTTACTAATCATACCATTCTTCTAGAGTTGTAAGGATCACGTAAGATAATGTACTTAAGAGAACTTTGTACAAGATAATCTCACATTTATCAATCTTTTTGGTGTCTTAGTTAAAAGAGGTATCTCCACCCCAAAGTAATAAGCATTCTCCTATTTTCCTCTTCCAAATTCTCTTACAGCTTTGATTTTGCTCCTGGGTGTTTAAGTCAATTGGAAATTATTTTTTATCTGATATGCAAAGGGGTAGCCCATTGTTTCAGCACTTTTCACTAACTAGTGTATCCTTTCACTGATGATTTCATGTCTCTTACTTGCAGCTACACTGTGGTCTATTTTTGAACTATCCTCTCTGTCCAACTGATCTATTCCTGAGCCGACACCACTTCCTAGAGCTTTAGAACAAGTACTGGTATGCGGTTAGAACAAGCCTTTTTTGTTGTTCCTTTCCAACACTGGCTTGGCTTTTCCGGCACTGTTTTTTGAAACTCAGCCTGTTGGGTTAAAAAACAAAATCCTGGTGGGCTCTTGAATGGACTGTCCTGATAAAGCAACTTGGAGGAAAACTGACATGTTTGCAGCACTGTGTTCTCTTAACTGGGAAACTTCTCTCTGCCAGAATTCTATTTTTCTTTTCCATTCAACCCAGGTAGAATCTGCGTGTTCCCTTTTATCAAGGACTGTACCACAACTACTGTGGATTAAAGCACTCATTACCCTACTTCCCCTTGAAGAGGGAAGGAGCTGGACACAAACTGCCAAATGAGAAGGTTTGAAAAGGAGCTGAACGATCTGTTCGGGGACGGGCTGCTCAGGGCGGTGACCTTGGAAACGCAGCTGAACGGTTTCCCAAGACAGGCCCCAGGCCTCCTGGCCTCTCCTCTAATGACCCTGAAAACAGGCAGCTTTGCAGGAGCAGCTAGAAAATTCCAGAAACCGCAGGCCTTTGGGGCTGGGGGCTGGTTTTAACTTCCCCCAACCCCATTGTACAGATACAGAGAGTGAGGCTGAGAGGCAGGAGAAAGAGACAGACCCATATGGGTCTGGTCTCCCCTCTTTCCCCAGAGTTAAGCTTGACTTGGCAAGAGGGTCAAGTGCCATATGAAGGTGCGGGAGGATGTCCTCAGCCCCCGAAGTTCCATCCGAGTCCCAGACCAGTGGCCAATCTCAGGATTTTATATTTCAACTGAGCTGTCCCCTCAGATGAGGCTCCTTCTACCCTCCATGTCCTGCCCCTTTAAGAAGAGACCAGTCCTTGCTTTATGTCATTCACAGGATTTATTGTCACTTGCCAGTGGCTAGCAGGGGAAGGGGACACGCTGCCGAGCCTCACCACGGGCACAGGTGGCGCTGGGCCACCCAGCACTATTTACACACGTTTCGCACGGGGCGCGTCCTCACTGGCAGCAGTTGCACTTCTCCTCAGCTTCGGCGCCCTCTCCGCCTTTACACACACAATCCTTGGCGCATTTCTCACACTCTGCGGGGCAGCAGGAGCAGCAGCCTGCAGATAAAATAGGGGCACCCAGTCTGATGGCCTCGCCTCCCCCATCTGTCCCCATCAAGAGGGAGGGGGAAAAAAGGAGGGATGCCAGAGGTCACTGCCCCCTTCCTAGTCTCACACCTGGGTTGACTCAGCATCTCTGTTGTGTCAGCTATGCTCTGGGCTACCCTGGGAGAGGGGTACCTAGTAACTAGCCCACAGCCCCTTCTGTGAGCACAGGACTCCCCGGGATGGGGGGATTAGGCCCACCCTGGGGAGTTGTAAGCCTGGAGGAGAAAACATCCAGGGTAAATGGCCTTGAAGGATAAAGCTGCAGGAGCAGAGATGGTACAGGTGTAGGGAGTCCAGGAGATTCATGGCCAGGGGGTGGGGTGGGGGTGCTCCACACCCAGTCTAACACGCAAAGAAGAAGGGCGCCTTCCCCCCACCTCCTTCTCCCCCTGCGTGTTCAACTGCTTTGGGGAGATTCAGGGGAGGTAAAATCGAGGGGATCCACAAAGGCCCGAGACAGCCCAACGGACCCCAACTCCAGAGCTAACCCCCAGCCTCACTAATGGCTCCCCAGGCACTGGAGGTTTTGAGGGGAGGAATTGGACCAGGATAGCATTTCTCAATCCCAACTGCCCATTAGAATCTTCCGGGAATTTACAAAAACATCTTGCCACCGTAGGGCCTAAGGTAACAATCATTGAGGGAGGGGCCCCTGCAACTGAGTCTTAAGGCCTCCCGCGTGGTTCTGTTACGTCAAAGCAATGTAACAGGGGGCCTAGGGGTCGCTCTGTATTGCGTGGACAGGCCTTGTGCTCTGAGGAGCACAGCAGGGAGGGGAAGGGCAGAGGGGTCCCCACACTCACTCTTCTTGCAGGAGGTGCATTTGCATCCCTCACACTTGCAGGAGTCAGCGCAGGTGCAGGAGCCGCCTAGAGAGGGAGGTGCCACAGGAAGGGTTAAAGTGGTAAAACTTGGGGTGGGGCCAGGCCCCTTGGGGGAAATGACTCCCTTTCCCCAAATGTCCTTGAGCAAAGGCGTAGGGCACGGGGTTCTTTGCAAGTAAAGGGGCGCGCTGTGCCGCAGGATGGGGGCGGGGGCTCACCAGTAGGGCAGGGGCAGGTCTCAGGATCCATGTCGAGAGGAGCTGCCGCCGGAGGAGGTTGAGTTGGCTTCTCGGGCAATTGGACGCACTAGCGGCAGCAGGTGGCTAGGCTTTTATAGCCCCAGGCGGGGGCGCGTAGGCACAGCGCTCCAGGCGCGCGCGCCTCCTCTTCGTCTGGGAGCACCAGCTTGGGCGGAAGCGCGCACTGCGGCAGCCGTCCCCCCTCCCCCGCCGTGTGCACGTTCGGGCGCTGCCCCCCACCCCCACCCCCGCTGCCTCGCGCACAGCCGGGTGCGCGCAGCCACCCACTTCCCACCGTGTGCAGGGGGGGACACTGCCCCGCCCGCCTGCCTGCCAGTGTGTACAGCCGCAAATGCCTACCCGCAGACAGTGCACACTTCCCGCCTCTGAAAGCAAAGTGGAGGGAGAGAAAAAGGCTTTGTTATTCGCCGGCCCTTCCCTGCCTCTTATCCCTTCCACCCCCTCTTATCCCTTATTCTAGGATTCCTCATCCGAGTGGGCTGCTGAGCCACCATGCTGCTTTAGGGCTCCGTCCCCTGTGTGTCTCATGGGGAGGGAACGCCACCGGAAGGGCCCTCGCAAACTGGCTTCGGGAGAGGCCTGCTCTGGGAGGCCTAGAAGGCAGGTCTGGAGTGACTAGTGGGAGTTTGGGGACGGAGGAAGGGTAGCCGTGCTAGGTGGCTGCATCTCAGCTTCAAAGGGAAGCGGATCTCCTTTCATCTGTTCCTTCTGCTGGGTTTCTGAGTCCCTTGTACTTGTGGTAGGCTGAAAAATGGCCCCTCAAGAGCTATCCATGTCAAATCCTGGGATCTGCGACTATTACCTTATTTGGAAAAGGAGACTTGGCAGATGTAATTAAATTAAGGATCTTAAGGTGAGATCATCCTGGATTATCCAGATAGGCCCTAAATCCAGCGATGAGCATCCTCAGAAGATCCACAGAGAATAGAAGAGGAGGAGACGACGTGACCACAGAGGCAGAGATTGAAGTGATGTGGCCGGCAGCCGCAGAAGCTGGACACAGAACAGTTCATGTCCTTTGCTAATAAGTCTGTGTCCTCACTCAGCAAATCAAGACACTTAGTCCCTAGGAAACAGAGGAACAAAGGACAGCATTAGACAACTGGTCAAGGGTTAAAGAAGCAGGAGAAAGGATTGCTAATGGCATTTTAGACAGGGCAGTCACATGGCGGCCCCCATGGGGAAGCCTCACTTTTCCTGCGTGTGATGCAAGTACCTTTCACATGGTTGTATTGGGCTTCACAGGGGCAAGGCTCATCTAGAGACAGTGAAAAAAAAAAATCATCCCAGGACTCCTGCAATAAAAGATTTGAAAGGTGAAGGTGGGAGAGGTTAGCATCTGGCATTTGGTGGGAACACCTATTGCCTTGCCGAGAATGGAAGTTCCTCCACAAGCCCTCCCGAAGGGATCTTATCACCTCTCACACCCAATTTCCACTTTTTTAAAAGAGATACTGAGATAGGCTGGGACCTGGGACTCTCTACCAGAGTGCTTGCACTTGAACCTGGACAAACGTCTCTTCATTTACAAAGAAACTATAAGAGGGACTTCCCTGGCTGTCCAGTGGTTAAGACCCTGCACTTCCAGTGCAGGAGGCACAGGATCGATCCCTGGTCGGGGAACTAAGATCCCACATGCCGCACTGCGTGGCCAAAAAATAAAAAAAGAAACTGAGAGGCGAAAAATAACCTGGCATGCGCAGTCGGGGCAATTGTGAACAGCAGGACACTTTAAAAGGGCCACAAACCAACCGCCATTTCTGAAGTGCCGAGAGTAAAATCAGGGTACTGCGCATGATCTCTGCACACAGCACCACCCTAGGAGTGGGCAGACCACCTAAGCCACCCCTCCGGCCCAACCCACCAAACGGCCCCTACCCTCACCCCATTTAAGGAGCCAGCCCACCCTCCTCGGAGAGCGAGCAAGGGCACCTGTTTCTCATTTTCACTCCCTCGTGCTGCAGCACTAGCCCCAGTAAAAGCTTGCCTGAATTTCTCATCTGGCCTCTTGTCAATTTCTCTTGATTAAAGAGTCAATACCTGTGTAGGATTTGCAGCCCTCCCTCTTTGGAGGTGGTCCCAAGGCTGCTTCCCAAGGAAGGCGGGTCTGGTGAGTCCCCAGGCTTTGGTTCTGCTGAGCGGGGGAGACCGAGACTCGCTAGGAGAGAGTGGACCTTGCTCCGAATCTCCCACATGCAAAGCTGAGCCTCTTCTAAATCTGAGCTGGACAAAGCAGTTTAAAATGTTGGTTGGAAACTCCCCACCCCCAAAATATTAGCTTCCAAGTGGCCTCCAATAAGGGATTGAGCTAGCTTTCTCCAGGCTTTTGCAAGTTTGCTACGTGTTGCCCCACAAGTCTTAAGCTTCAGTAAAGTTGAAGGACGGGGAAAAAGGGAAGAAAGAAGAGTCCAAAGAGGAGACGATATAATCTTATATCCCAAGGTATTTAACGTGAAGCCCGGGTTGGTTCTCAACAGTGGCTTCATGCAATTTCAGATCGCAGAGCTCACCATCTCTAGCACTACTGTTTATTTCTTGCTTGTTTGTTTTTGTTTTGCCTGAGGGCACTCCAGCCTCAGACTTGCCTGGCCTAGGCCCTAGCCTTGACCCCACTCAAGGCCTCACTATCTCAGGCTTTCAGTACCAGGTGAGATGTGTATCCCAACACACTCAGCCAAAGCTGCCTCCCGGCCATTTCCCTTCGGGGCTCCCAGATTTCCTCGGGATTTAGGCTTGAGCTGGGAGAACAATCTCCGCCCCCCACCCACCGTGATGGGTAATTTTTTGTGTCAACCTGACCAGGCTCAGGGATGCCCAGATAGCTGAGTAAACATTACTTCTGAGCACGTCTGTGAGGATATTTCCAAAAGAGATAAGCATTTGAATCAGAAGACTGAGTAAAGAAGATCACCCTTACCATTGTGGGTGGACGTCATCCAATCTACTGAGGGTGCAAGTAGAACAAAAAGGCAGAGGAACGGTGAATTTGCTCTCTGCCTGAGCTGAGATATCCATCTTCTCCTGCCCTCGGACTCCTGGCTTTCCGGCCTTTGGACTTGGACTGGGATTTACACCATCGGCTCCTCTGTTCCCAGGCTTCCAGACTCAGGTTGAATTACACCACCGGTTTTCCTGGGCCTCCAGCTTGCATGTGACTAATTGTGGGACTTCTCAGCCTCCATAATGATGTAAGTCAATTCCTAACATCTCTCTCTCTCTCTGTGTATATGTACATCTCCCAGTGTTCTGTTTCTCTACATCACCCCACACCTAAGGGTGGCCAGGATATTGAGAGATCTGAAAACCGCAACATCCTTCGGAGACACCCTCCCCCCAATTCTTCACATGGCCAGGCCCCTCATCCTTCAGTTCTCAGCTTCTGTGACCTCTGAAAAGCATTTCATGTAGATGTGTCACTCCAGAGGGCTCCCCATCACCCCCACCTTTATTTCCCTCTGACCCCTTGTTAATTCTCACAATGTAAACTGATTCTATGCTCTCTCCGCCAGTGATGCTTCTTCCCCAGGTATCCACATGGCTCATTCCCTCCTTTCTTTATTCTACACTGTTGCTCAAATCTTGCTGTCTCCATGAAGCCCACCGTGATCACCCTGTTTAAAATTAAAATCAAACCCACAGGACTCCTGATCCCCCATACTTTGCTCTATCTTTTCTTTTTTCATAGCATTTAACACCTTCTAATGAAGTAAATTACTTATTTGTAAAGCTTATGTGCTGTCCCCCCCTGCTAGAATTTAAGCACCGTCATCCGATAAGGAATCATTTCTTTTGTTCACTGACATATGAAGTGCCTGGAACAGTGTCCTGTACATGGGAGACATTCAGGAGATATTTAGTGAATGAATGAATGAATGAATGAATGGCTCTGAAGTCAAGTTGTTGCCTTTGTTACCGACCAGGATTCCTGGCCTCCTTAATCAATAGAAATTGATAAGAGGCCAGACAAGAAATTCAGGCAAGGCTTTTATTTTTATTTTTTAATATTTATTTATTTGGTTGCACCGGGTCTTAGTTGTGGCTCGAGGGCTCTCCTTAGTTGTGTCATGAGAACTCATAGTTGCGGCATGCATGTGGGATCTAGTTCCCTGACCAGGGATCGAACCTGTGCCCCCTGCATTGGGAGCACGGAGTCTCATCAACTCAGCAAGTCCCCAGGAAAGACTTTATTGGGGCTCCTGCTGCAGCAGGAGGGGGGTTCCCTTGCTCGCTCCCTAAAGGGGGGTGAGCTGGTTCCTTATATGGGGTGAGGGTGTAGGGGTGGGTCCAGGGGTCGGCCCAAGGGGTGGCTTAGGTGGTCTGCCCACCCCTTTGCTGGTGCTGTGTGGGTTTTTGGTCTCTTTGTATCTTGTTCATAATTTGCCCCAACTGTGCATGCACACAGTTATTTTTAGTCCCCTATAGTTTCTTTGTATTTTGTTGCTGGAGGAGAGGTTTGTTCAGTTGCAAGCACTACAGCAAAGGGTCCCAGGTCCCAGCCTGTCTCATGTTCACAGCCTGACTCTGCCACTTACTAGTAATGTGACAAGTTACTAGCAAGTTGCTAACATTTCCGTGTCTTGGGGTGCTCCAGGGTAAAATGGGAGGTTTGTCAAGGGCTTAAATCGGATGGCACTTGGAAAGCTCTCAGAGCAGGGCCCAAACCATGTTGGCTCTTACCAACCATGCAACTAAGTCTGAGACTCAGGAGGTCAGGGGAGGGCTCTGCTGGAGCCTGGGATCCCTACAGCTCCTGTCTGACACCCAGCTTCAGCGTTGGCCTCAGTCCTGTGCTTCTTGAATTGCAGCTGCCTGT